ATTGTGGTCATGTGATAGAGTCCCTCATGGCATCCTGAGGGTCAGTACATGTGTTTTGTGTATTCGGCTGTGCTTAGATTGGGAAGTGTCCCTGTGTGAGGGACATGATGCTGATATGTTCATGGGGTTAAATTGATCCCTGAGTCCTAAGTCCAAGTCTGTTTGCCCACAAAAGCCTGATTCAGGACTGTGTCAGGAATCTCTCTCTGCAGCAACCCACCCGACCTGTGTATCCAGGCTGGATCACAGACACTTGGGTGGAGGATGTTTGGCATAATCTCTTGCATATGCACAGCAGAACCAAAGCAGGTGGGAGGAAACAAAATCTGGGACTGAGAAAGCATCAATCATTTCACTTCCTGGGTGACCAATGGTCCTGATTGCCTGGGACTAAGGGGTCCTAGGATGCGACTTCCCACGGGTGTGACTGGGGTAGTCTGGGCAAACCACAATGAGTTGGTGACTCCAGTCCTAACCTTGTTAACCAGCAGATTCAGTGACCTCATGTTTCCTTTTTTCCTCATTTCTTATAATTCTCTTTCTCTCTTCCTGCCTCTCTCTCTCTCAGTTTATGAAGGAATTAGATTAGTTGAGATGTTACCTGGTTTATTTTTTAGGTCTAATATGTTTAAACTTTTTTTAGGTATACTATTCATTTAAAAAGTATTCAAATGATTAATTTCCAGTTTGACAGATTATTACAAAATGAACAGACCTGTGGTAATACTATCAGGTTAAGAAATAGAAATGAACCTTGCTCCTAATCATACCCGCTTATGCATCCCCAATGATTGCTAATCACTCTCTTGACCTGTCACCCTAAAGGTTGGTTTCATTCTCTTAGATCTTTATAGATATGAAAGATTATAGAATTAGCTTTTCTTTACATTATGATTGTGACATATTTACAACAATGTAAATATTTTTAGTTCATTTATTATTGTTGGTGTGTAATCTTCCACTGGATAAATATGACACAATTTATTTGTTGACTGTCCACTTGAGAAATATGTAGGTTTTTTTGCAGTTTGGGACTCTTAAAAAATAGTACCTCTATGAATTTTTTTGAATAGGTCACTTGGCAAACATATATAAATGTTTCATTGAAATATAAATATATATATGCCTAGCAGTAGATTTCTCATAGACTTGCTTAATCAAACTATTCTGTTCTCTGTAGGCTCTTGGCTATCTTTCATTAGATTTTTCCTAGATATTTTATTTTTACGGTCTTATTTATGGTATAATATAAAATTTTATTTGTAACTGCTTCTGACATACAGATAAACATTCGTTTATATATGAATTTATCTTGGAACCAAATTCCCTCATTATTTTAAACAACTTACTAATAAAATTTTTGTTGGAAATTTTGCATACACAGTCATATCCACAGAAAATGGTGGTTTTATTCATTAGCAGCCTTTTTATCTTCTTTAGTCCACGGGTAGGCCCTCCCTTTAATATTGAAGTGGATTTCTTTGTGTATTCTCTGTAGAGTAGGACAGCTCTCCATATTTCATAATTAAATAGTAAGCTTTCTGTCTTTTCTGTAGATTCTTTCCATCAGGGGAGCTAGGGTTTTTTTTTATTCCTATTTGCTAAGGCATTCTATATTTGAAATGTGTTTAAATTTATAAAATGCTTTCTATATACCTATTGACATAATCATATGATTAGCCTCCTCTTTTTTTAGTAAATATAATTTTTAAAAATTGATTCATGTTTTGATGTTAAACAAACTTATATTCCTGTAAACAATTCAATGTGGTTATGATCATATGTATATGGTGCTGAATTTGATCTGCTTATATTGTGTTTAGGACATATGCTCTGATTGCATCCCACACATTTATCCTTCAGTTCTTATACCATTTCCTCCACCTCCCTCAAATAAGTCAACCCTAATTATGGCAATATGCTCCCCACTTCCTGTGACTGAATTTGCACCTGTTGTGTATTGGGTTTCCAAAGGACTTTTATGACCCACAAGATTAACCCACAGTGCTCTTGCAGAGTGGGGCTTGGGGAAAAGTGTGATCTTTTGAACAGTTCACAGGAATATCCCACAAGTCACTTTCAGGCACACATGCCATGATGGAATTCCAAAGTAGCTATGGTGGCAGAAATAGAGGCAGGTGTGGACCAAGAGCACGGCTCCCTCTCACCTCTGCTGCCTCTGCTGTACATGCTGTTGGCATAAGCAGAGAATGGTATTGAGCCCATATCGAAGCTAACCACCCCATGTGGAGGCTAGTTTTCTACATCAGACCACTTCCACACTGAAAAGACAATAGCAGTTCTACCTTATTATAATTGCATGTGTGGTGCATAGAATTGTCTTCTCTGTCTGCAGTGCTACCCACCAGATTACAGTATATAAGTCATAGGATAGCAGGATAGCATCACTGATGAACAAGGTCAACAGTAGGCAAAAGACCATGGGATCCACTTATCCTATTACATATCACATGACAGAGAAATTGCAAGCTTGATGAGAAATTAAAATGGTCTCTTAGATGTGCAGCAAAGACACCAACTTAGAGGTGACATCCTGCTATATTGTGTTCTGGATGTGGAATGTACCTCAATACAATGGCCATTATATGGTCTGACATATATGTAGGACCACATATATCCATTAAAAAGTAGAACCCATAGGTTCAGAAAATGATGGATGGAAGTTGGAGTGAACATTCTCAAATTAACTCCCAGTGGCACACTTGGGAATCTATGTTTCTTGTCTCATAATGCCTTTAGGCTCTCCTGGGTTGAAGGTCTTACTCTTTGAAAGACACCTTTTTGTCAGGAGACGTAACTATCATCTGGCCATTGTGCAGTCCTAGAAAACAGTTACTGTTTGGTGAGGGATTGTTATCTTGAAGGTAAGAGAGCAGAAAGAAATATATCTGGAACACAAGATTTCACTGGAGTGACTCGTGGTGGGTTCAGGCTCAATGACATTCATTAATGAGCAAGGATAGCAACCACAGCATGCCAATCAGTTGTAACTGGGGCTCAGACCTACATCTTTCAAATGTAGATGTAAGTGCCTTTGAGCAAGAACAGGAGACCCAGTCCTGGATCTGAGTCTGTTCATTATTAGCTTGTGACATCGCACAATGAACTGTTTGTGTGTTGTTGTTGTTCTGAAAATTGGAGATAATAATGTGGGAGGTGCTATTATGATGCTCAGAATGGATAATGCATGTAGTATGCAATGTGTATTTAAATCCTTATATCAGGAATTCTGTACAATAAATCACACACAATATGGATGAATTATGATATAGAATTTATTAAGAAATGTATAGTAAGACTCCTGATTCTACAAAGACAACTCAAAGTGATCATAAAAGAAGAAAGCATGATACAAAAACCATGAGTACACTGAAAAAGAATATATGATTGTGAAGATTATTGATCAATTGCAGAAACCTATGAAAAAGTTATGAGAATTTTATTTCCTAAGTTACTTAGAGGAACTAGGTAATCCTACTGCAAAATCAAGGTCAGTTCCGTATCGAGGATGTATAAAACTGGTACATGACCTACATGCACAGGAGGAAGGTCAAAGTCCTGTGACCTCCATCAAGCTGACTCAAAACTTGTAACCAAACAGATGAGTCACAAAAATTATGGTCCAGCATGCTGGTGCCAGCAAAGTCAAGGAAGACCATTTGTTTCCATAATGGTAGGTCAGTTCACAGATGTTATGTGTACAGATGGTGGTTGTCTGGCAAGGTGATCAGCAGCAGCAAGGTTGGCAGCAGCTGGATCCACAGCCATAGCTGATGCACCCAGGCACGCAGCAGCAGGTGGGGTGGTAGCAGGTTCTGCAGACATTCACGGGACTGCAGCAAACTTGCTGGCAGCAGGGTGAGCAGCAGCAGGACCCACCACAGCTGGACCCACAGCAGCTGGGCTGGCAGCAGGGAGTGCTACAGCAGCAAGGCTGGCAGCAGCTGCTCACACAGCAAGGGCGGCAGCAAGGCTGGCAGCAGCTGGACCCACAGCAAGGGCTACAGCAAGGCTGGCAGGAGCAGGACCCACAACAGCTGGACCCACAGCAGGTGGGCCTCCAGCAGGTGGTCCTGCATGTGGTCCTGTAGCAGGTGGGCTGGCAGCAAGAGGAGCAGCACATGGTGTCAGGTGTGGAGGGTGGGTTTCTGTTCAGAGGTGAGTTTCTCAGATTCTGATGGTGTCTTCTCTTTGGGGACTTTTATACTCTGGACCCCCAATAATGGGACCAATAAGCTGGGCTTCCCTTGTTGTTGTTTCCTTGTTTATAGTCACAAAGAAATTGTCAAGGAGGAAGTTGTTCCCCTTGTGTTTTGAGGGTTCTGTAAATTACCGTTTGATCTTCTCCTTAATTGGAAATATTACTTAAGAATCTTTTCCAGAAATGGAACAATCAGGAATCATCCCCAGCAACATTTCTGGTCATGTGACATCATCAGGTCGTGTATTACTTCCTGCTGGTTTGAAGAAGGTCAGGATAGTGGTCTCCTCTCAGTGTTGTTCCTTTGGCCATACGGTATTTAGGCTGATGTGCTGTTGTCATAAGCAGAGAATGGTGTTGAGTCTTATCTATACTATCCATCTTGGAAGCAATCACCCACACAGCCAATGTTCTTCTTGTACCACTTCCACATTGAAAACAGCAATTCTTCCTTTCTGTGGTAGCGAGTTTGGTGTGTGGAATTGTCTTTGTCTGCAGTGCTACCCACGCGCTTACAGTCTATAGTGGCAGGATGCTGGATAGCAACATTTTGGACCACGGAACCCACTTTATGATGAACAAGGTCAACAATAGGCACATATTCATGGATCTACTTGCCCTACCATACATCACATGACAGAGAAGTTGCTGGACTGATAAATGAGCATGGTGTTTTAGATGTGCAGCAAAGATACCACCGTAGAGATGACAACCTGGAGGATTGATATATTGTCTTCTAAATGTGGCATATATTTTGGTCCAGTGACCATTATTTGCTTGACATATATGTAGTACTCTATGTATTCATGAAAGTTAGTATCCATGGATTTAGAATGTGTTATACTTGAAATGTTAAATTCTGTTTCTGATATATACGGATACAATTCATGTTTGGATGTTGATCCTATAATCAAACTGCATGATTATTTCTAATAGCTCATTGATAGATTTTTTGGACATTTTAGATGCACAGTTATATCATTCATACATGATAGGATTGCTCTTCTAAAACTGAATGTAAAGGCAAAAACAGAAGCAAAACCAATTTATACAGGCACTTTAAAGAGTAAGAATCATATCAAGACAAGGAGAATATCCACTACCCAGGTTGAGATCATGTACAAATGAATGTGTTTCTCAAATGGGCATGTGGCAGTGAACCCTGGAAGTTCAGAGTCAGGAGAGGCACACGGGCAGAGGTGGGCAGAGCACAGCTGCCCCGCACAGGGGAGAGGGACATTGCACCTGAGCCGTCCAGTTCCTGAGGCAAGAGCACGTGTTTGACATGAATGCAGGAAGTGCCACTAAACATTGTCTTCTTCTAAATTATTTCTTCTGATTCTTTGCTCAGAAAATAACCCTCCTGTTATTATTTGACTACCCTGGTAGGCCTTTGTGGACTGAGAAACCACTGGTCAAATACACTATAAAAACTACAGTTACTACATTTATAATTGTGGCTAATCATTGGCGTATTAATTTATGAGGATCAATTAAGTTGTTATGCCTCATGGGTCGGGTAGCAACTCATCCTTGTGTGTGATTGAGATCAGATGTCTGAGTCTGCGAGATTTAATTCCAGCTCCTCATAGATTTGTCACAATTCTGAAAATGGACTTGAAAGGGAGCTTCTTGTTCTCCCAGGTGAATGCATAAAAATGTCATGGCGTTCTGTGCCATGTATTTAGTTCAGTGTGATGCTTTTGAATGCCTGTGGACTTCTGAGAATGACAGCAACGTCAGCAAGCAATCAGTGACAGTGACTGGACAAGAGAGAGAATTTGGGGACTTTAGAGAGACTCTAAATGGAAAGGACCCTCAGAGTCCACTATTGAATTTACTCATGGAGAGTGCAAATCAAAGGTACAATATCCCAGTATCTACCGATTGGTTGTTTAGTTGATGCTTGATACCTGCAGTGATGTGAGTTCCTACCCCCATGGTAGCCTATCCGATTTGCTAACATCTCCCATAACAGAGCTTCCTTCTGTGAGAGTCCACCCTCCTGGGCCTCCTGCATCTTTTGCTCAGACAGTCAGAAGGCATTGCAGAGCAGCTCCTCCTCTCATTACACACCTTGTCCCCTGATAGTCCTGCTGCGGCATCGCATTCCCTGCACTCTCTCTCTTGCATGTGTTTCCCCGCCTCATGGAATGCACTCTGATGAAGGACAGCATTTCCCTGTTGAGCGCATGAATTTTATGAAGCTCAATTTTTCTCAAGGACCATGACATTGACATTGCCAAATAGATCCTTATTGTAGTTGTTCCTAGATTATGGTTTGATGGAATATAATAAGATCCTGTCATGTATGGACATTTGTTACTATTCTTACTACTTGGCATCTGTGCCGATTTTGTAAGATGCTTCTAGTTTCCATTATCCATTTTCTGTAGATCGTACATCTGTTTATCTCTGATTTTATCTTCAGCCATAAGTGCTTTATTGTGGAAGTAAGTACAATTGATTTTGGTATGAGGTTTATAAATCATATGGAAAAGTCCTCAGGTTCCTGCTCTGCCACTCACTAGTTTTACTGTTAAGGGAAATACAGTGTATTCTTTATGCCAACTCATGAATTGTTTCTTACCTATACCATATAATCATCCCTTACAAATATTTTGTTTTATTATCCAACTACCATCTTACATATTATGACCATCCATGGATTAATCTGTAAGTGTTACTTCCTCTATTTTCCTTTCTTTTACTGGGGCAGCCAGTCTGCTGGCAGATACTTTCTTGGAGATACCACTGTTCTTATGTTTTCAACAGACATGACAAAACAAATCAATTCATCACCCTTATTTTTAGTAGAGAATAGTAACTTTCCCTTTTGTTTCCCCTTAATAAGCTAAGATTTATTTCTCTCTTGCTTAACTCTTTATCTCTGACTTAGTACAACTGACCTCAATGTTACAAATTATAAACATCCCAAACCAGGAATAATGGTAGGTCTTCTCCCAAACCAGGGAGAAGATCATGGTGTAGCGATGACGTCCATGGCTAATGAACACAAGGATGATCATTTTTAGCACAATTCCATTTTATTCCCGAAAACCCTACAATTGTTATAATATATGGACATGGAATACCTCAAAATTCATTAATTGATGACCCCAATAGCAGAATTTATGCCCAATGGAGTTTTTATGGCAAGAGATCAACTTCTAGTTTCAAAGGCAGTGGACAGAGGAAATATTTCCAGTTAAAACAACTCTGAGGAGTATATTGAGCATTATTTATATGTGTATGTATTTTTGGATTAAAAAAGTGGCCCAAGGGAACGATGTCAATTGACTATTTGCCAGTGGTGAAAGCCTTCACTGACTGCTCACAGTCCTGGAAGGAGCAGGTTGGACTATAGGCATTGGGAGAAGAAATGTGTAGAGGGAGAAGGTCTGTGGACAGAAAGTGTTTCCACGTCCTGTCCCACCTCAATGCCCAACCCCCCCAGAGAGTATCCACCATTTAGGAGACACTGAACAACTATGAGTTTGATACAGCTCAGCCTGTATCCCTTCTCAGGTGCACCAGCACTTGCACAGGGAGCATGAGCAAAGTAGCCATGGAGGAAAGAACAGAGGCTATGTGTGAACCAAGAGCAAGAACTTCCTCTCCCCACAGCACCTCTGCTCTATGTGCTGTTGTCATAAGCAGAGAATGGTGTTGAATCCTTATCTATAATATCCATCTTGAAAAGTAATCACCCACACAGAGCAATGTTCTACTTGTACCACTTCCACATTGAAAACAGCAATTTTTCCTGTCTATGGTTTTGAGTTTGATGTGTGGAATTGTCTTTGTCTGCAGTGCTACCGATGAGCTTACAGCCTATTGTGGCAAGATGCTGGATAGCAACATTTTGGGACCAAGGGACCCACTTTATGATGAGCAAGGTCAACAATAGGCCTATAATCATGGATCTACCTATTGACCTACTTGCCCTACCATACATCACATGACAGAGAAGTTGCTGGACTGATAAAAAATGAGCATGGTGTTTTAGGTGTGCAGCAAAGATGCCACCATAAAGATGACAACCTGGGAGGTTGATATATTGTCTTCTAAATGTGGCATATATTTTGGTCCAGTGACCATTATTTGCTTGACATATATGTAGTACTCTATGTATCCATAAAGGTTAGTATCCGTGGATTCAGAAGCAATGGGTGCAAGTAAAGGTGACCCGCTCACTTTAACCCCCTGTGCTATACTTTGTAATCTTGGCTTCCTATCGCATCAGGCCTTTGGGCTTTTCTGGATTGGTAACTTTACTCCTATGAAAGCACATTTTGTCAGGAACATAATCTAATGTTACAGCTATCATCTGGTCTGTTTAGACTCCTCATAACAGTGAGTAGCAGGCAGAGAAAGCAGTTACTCTTTGTTTTGTTCAGTGTCTTGAGCAGGCACAGAAGACCCAGTCCTGGATCTGAGTCTGGTCATTATTCTTAGCTTGTGACATTATGCAATGAATTTGTTTTTCTGAAATTGTAGATGATAACTGTGGGAGCTATTGTGCTCAGAATGAATGATGCACGTAGTATGCAATATGTATTTCAATCAGGAATGCTGTACAATAAATACACACAATATGCATGGCTTATGGTAGACTTTATTAAGAAACACATAGAGAAGAGCCCTGCTTCTAGTAAGACAATTCAATGTGATCCTGAAGGAAGAAAGTCTTATACAAGAATCATGATTACATTGTAAGGAATTGTGATTAGGAGGATTATTATTCAGTTATAGAAACCTTGCAAGGCGATCAGCAGCAGCAGGGCTGGCCACAGCTGGATCCACAGCCATAGCTGATGCACCCAGGCACGCAGCAATGTTGAAAATTGAACAACAATAGGCTTGAGATTCTAGAATTTCCATTCCCATCACTACTTATAATGGAACCCAACAACCGTGAA